CAAAATCCAAATCTCATATGGTGCCAAGCAAAAGGAAATCAAAATCTACAACTGGAGTTTGAACATTGATATGATCTGTTCAGTTGTTATCATGTTGGGATTTTCTCTTGTGTTTGATTTTTTGGATAGTTGTTCTCTTGCTTCTTCAAGTGTCCTTAGCTTGTATTTATAGCTTGGAATGTGTTTGATGTTGTATATACATTGATGTTGTATGTTGCGATCAACGCGAAAGTCAAATTCGCAAACCGAAAATCGCGTTGCGAATTTTTACCTTCAACATGTCTTTTTTGCCTTCAAACATAATACAGATTGATTTTTTTAAAAACAACAAATCAACTTTTACAAATCAATTAAACAAGCAAAAAAATAATTCTTATTTACAAATCAAATTAAACAAATCAACTTTTACAAATCAATTAATCAAAAAATAAATCTTATTTCCTCATCAATTAAACAAATCAACTTTCAATATAAAATTCAATTAAACAAAGAAAAAAAAGTGTACCCCAGACTGTTGTTTATGCACAAATACATTTCACGCAGCTCACTTCAGGATTAACCTGCAGAAACTAAACATTTGCTCAAACAACACTTTCTATACATCTAAAACTAACAAACAATAAATTACTGAATTCTAGGTACTTAACCAAATATTTTCAAACCAATTAAAGAGTACATATAACAACACTTGCTCAAATTTACCAATTGTTTATGTACAACTTTCAGCACGCGGATGCAGGTAGGCAGTGTCTCGTATATATCGATCTGGCCATATAATACCGAAACCACAAGCCTACTGCAGCTCTATCTATATCTGTGGGAGGTAGATACTATATACTTCCTGTCGTCAAACGTTCCAAGAACAAGCATACGAGAGGACCACAATCCCCTCTAGCTCCCTTCGTTTGTTATGGCTTAGTCTCGTCTCTGATCATTGTAATTTTGAACTTCTTTGGCTTCTTGTTTCCAGAATTTGTCCAATAATCAAGCGCATTCAAGTATTCAGCCAAATGATCGCTCCATCCCTTTGTAATAATATCTCTCAAATCAGACAATGGTATGTAATTCAACATGTTGTCATATACCATTTTCTTCAGGGATAGGAGCTGAAGCTCGACGAGAAGCCAATGACGACGTTCCAAAATAGGGATAAATACCTGCAATCATAAATAATTGCGCACATCAAATAAATTTTATGAAAACCTTTAAAATATTCAAAAAAATAAATATTAACCTTATCGACCTCCCACCACGCAGGATAAAGTTTAGCTTTTCCATTAGCCAACTTATATGAAGCATCTCTCTGATCCTTCAAGTGAGTTGCGTGAAAAGACGTCGGCATAATAGTCCATCGAGTATTTTTTATTTTCTTTAATTTCCTTATTATTAGAAGACGTGACACTCATGCATCAATATGCTGTTTTATAAAAAAAAATACATATATTAGTGAATTTATTAATAAATTTTAAAAAAATTAATCAAAATGCAATATAAGAAGAATATAAGACTTATCACCCCTTCGAGATAGCCATTATCTTCAACCCCTAATAAAATACCCCACTAAGACCGATCAAGAAACAAATGATATGCATCGTCGATTTGGCATAAGTCAGAATAACACCCCTTGCTCCGCTCATGTAGATAAAAATCAACTGCGGTCTTAGCCCAAAGGGTATTATCCGTAATTGTTTTTGGTAGTGTTTCCCTCTCCTCCTGAGGAATGGTACTGGCCGGTAACACATACGAAAGCCAACTCGCATTCATCATATCGGGCACGAGAGGGGGTTTATCAATATGTCAACATATGACACCATGTGAATCGGGCTCTTGAACGGTGGGCGGGACCACTTGAACGATGACAGGGGCCTCTTGAACGGTGGAAGGGCTTCTTCGATGATGAGAGGGTCCTCTTGAACGATAGGAGGTGCCTCTTGAATGATGATAGGTGCATCGGGCTTATTCTTACGGAGTCTTGACACTAGTGGGGTGAACGGAGACATAATGGCACGTGCACGACGTCTGATGCGTAAACCCCGTCGTGCAAGAAAAACTCGACGTAAAGCATCAACCTTATCAGGCCGCTGAAAATAAATTAATATATAAATCACTAAATAAATAAATAAATAATGCCGAAAAAAGGTTATTTGCATTGTATTAAACAAATTTACCTTATTGTGTAGAGTATGAACCTCATTCTGCAATGATAAAACAATCTCGCGTAGAGCGGCCACCTCGTCATGTAAAGTAGATACCTCACCACGAAGCGCACCATTATCATCGCGTAAAAAATCCACCTCACCACGTAAAGAACGAACCTCGTCATGCCATGCACTATTATCTTCACGTAAAGTATTGACCTCGTGACGCAAAGCACCAACCTCATCACGTAACTCCCTTAACTCATCCCGTGGAGGTAGAGAACAGGGAGATGGAGATAGACAGAGCCTTTTTTCCGGTCGCCTATCATGAGGTGATGGTGGAGAAGAGGCTCAATGATGTGATGGAATAGGTGATGGTGGAGGTGGAGAAGAGGCTCGACCAGGTGATGGCTTCGGGTGTCGAGCTATAGAATCGGCCCGATGGGGTGACGACTCTCGAAGTGGGGGGTGCTCATCATCCGTCCCATCAAAAAACCGCTTACTAGCTTGCCACCAATCAGTGGCAAGCTTAGCATCTGAGGGTGTCAGCCTTTGTAATGGGTAGTTGGCCTCTTAACAATATAAAAGCTCAAACAAAGTTAAACGTGTACTAGTAATAACTTGTTTATATATGGTAGTGTTTGTGTGTTAACTTACATCATTAATCGTCATATATGGGAGTAAGTCTTCCCAATCCAACATGCGGATCCTCTTCCAGGTAATAGCCCTAGGAATATCATTTGATTTTTTTATCGCATATGTTCGCATGCTAGGGAAAGCCTCAAATATCCAAATCTACAAACAATATAATACACAAACATTAGTAATTGTTAAATAATTAATTATAATTTTGGAAACATTATATAGAAATTCTTACCTTAAAGGCCCAAGTAAAGCCTGTCAAAGTGTATTTAGAACCATTGCCCCACAAACTTTTTCGGTCCTCGAAGGCAGACGACAACTTCTTCCATGTAGCTTTCCATATATATGAACCCTACGAAAACATGTTCCATGCATTTAGGTCCTCTACCAATAATATTAGGTCCTCGAAGATTGGTTGTCTGCCCTCTTTGCCTAAAAAGTCGGTATGCAAAAGTAGTAAATGGCATACTCGGACAACATCAAGGTCATCCATCCGAGTAAAACCATCTTTATCAAATAATATCTTCAAGTCATCGACATGTATACTCGGCTTCGACTTTGCCAGCTCAGGAAAAACCCGATATAACCATGATGGGCGGGCGATATGACTAGTGTACTGACCTACATCATCGTGTCCGAAGCGTAGACCAGTGATTAAGCAAAACTCCTCCCGCCCAAAACAAGTATACGCCGGTGCCAGAGGAAAATGAAACCATATCTCCTCATCACCACGTTGTACCCCCTCGGGTAGATCGTTAGTCATGGTCTGAAGAAACAAATGTGTCAACATAGCATCTCCACCCGTATGTTGCACTTTCAGCCATGACCCGAAGTAAGTATCCTCAAATAATTTTCTTTGTAGAGGTGTAAGCGTCGACGTAATTTTAGTGGCTAGGCTCAATTTATTCCTTAAGGTCAATGCATTCGAAAAAAATTTCTACAAAAACAATAAACATACCAAATTAGATATACCAAAAACTAAAAATTATACACTATAAACAGACATGATATTAAACAGTGAAAACAAAGCCAAATATGTTTCAAACTAGCACGGTATTCACCCAAGTCATTATTCCATCATAGTTCACAAAATGCATCAGATAACATTCCAGAAGTAAGCACTTATATAAACATTTAAAAGGGCAACATATAGGTTTAGTGCATGCTCAAGGACAACATAAAGAATAGTAGTTTATTCTTGAAACTTAAATTAGCAACACTGTGAAGTTAGTATTTGTCCTTGTTTTTTTGGTTGAAGTAATGCAATTCATTCAAGTTTCAATTTGCAGAATAAAAGAAGTTTCTGAAACTTAAATTCGCAACGCGAAAATGAAAATCGCAACACGATTTTAGTTTCGCGTTGCGAATTTGGTGTTGCGATTTAGGGTTTCTTCAACAAAAAGACAAAACAAAGACAAATACTAACTTCACAGGGTTAAAGACTAAATAGTTTAGCAGTATTGGCAGCAACCGAATGAATTTAGCAATCTCAGTGAAATGGTTAATCTAATAATAATACAAAAATTTCAAAATAAAAATAAGAGATTAAAAAAACTAACCATCGGTAGTTGATTTTCCATTTCTGACCGTGAATGGTTGTGAGGGTTGATCTGAGAGATGGAGATAGACGGATTTTGTCGAAAATGGGGACGGATTTCATCGGATATGGGGACGGATTTCGCCGTAGAGAGTGAGAGATGGAGATGAGACTGAGTTGTGCTTTAGGGTTTTAGGTTAGAGATGATTTGCGATAATACTATTTACATTTGTGTTGCGAAATTAATATTGTGTTTCGCGTAAAAACATTTGACTTTCGCGTTGCGAATTTGACTATCGCGTTTCGAATTTGACTTCTGTGTTGCGATTTACATATTCGCATTGCGAAATTGGAAACTGGGTTGCGAATTTGTTGGTCATTTTGGCAAATCCAAAAAAAAATTGGTTAAATTCGTATAATATAAGACATTTTTGGTCACTGAGGTTATTTTCTCTTGACTTTATTGACTCTTTTACCCATTACTCATCTGAAGACGTACTTGAATCCGAATCGTGTTAGCATATGTAACTTTGTTGCCAAGAAATGTGAACCCTTTGTTTCCCTCGAAAGTCCTTGTGGTTTCGAAGATGCCATTGGTATTGGAAATGGAGTCTTAGATCATTAGACCTTGATACTGGTGGGACCTATTAACTATCGTTACAAGCCAAGGTCTTATTGTTCAGATAACAGTGACCCTGATGGCGAGGACATACCCGAAGAAGATGCTGTGTGTAGGATTTGTCTGGTTGAACTACGCGAAGGATGTGAAACACTGAAGATGGAATGCAGCTGCAAAAGCGAGCTGGCTTTGGCGCACAAAGACTGTGCCGTGAAATGGTTCAGCATCAGAGGCAACAAGACCTGTGATGTGTGCAAGCAAGAGGTTCAAAACCTACCTGTCACACTTTTACGAATAGGAACAAGTAGAGGCCTTCAGGCTGATGCATATGCATCTGGCAATCGGTAACAAACAGTTTGTTAATGGATGGAATTAAATACCTATGATTGCTGAAACTTCTAGGATACATATAAAAATATGATTGCTGAATTTTAGTTTGATGTTTGCAGGATTTGGCAGGAGATCCCTGTTCTTGTTATCGTCGGCATGCTTGCATACTTTTGTTTTCTTCAGCAACTTCTGGTAGGATAAGCAGTTTCTTTTTCGGATTTGCCCTGTTTTTCACTTCATATCCTTCACACACATATATATTTTACCTGCAGGTTGGAAAAATGGGTACTGGAGCTATTGCTATATCTCTTCCATTTTCATGTTTGCTAGGCCTCCTTTCATCCATGACATCATCAACAATGGGTAGGTTTGGGAAACATTCTTCGGTTCGGTTATATAATTCAGATTTCAATGCTTCAGTGTCTTGTTTCATACGAAATAGGAACATGGTCAGCAGAAACTAGCTTAAATTTTATAGTTACAAGCACCATTCCGGTTTCACCTTTTTCTGTTTTAGTTAGAAGCCGGTCCGACTCTAGTTTCATGCATAAGCATGCTTGCATATGTAGCAGGCACTTGCAGTGGATAGGGAGAAACCATAGTTGATTAGCCTGAGAAATGCTGTCACTACTGTGAGATTTTAGAGGAAATTCCTGCTAAATTATTCTCTATATCCTGATTTAAACCTCTTCATCTTTCATATTCAGTGCAGCGGAGATTTGTCTGGGTTTATTCATCGGTTCAATTTTTGTTGGTGGTTGTCTTTGCTCATATATTTTATTCTTTGGTAAGTAGCACCTAGTTCCTTGGATGTTTGCAAGTACAGAGTTGATTCATATCCATCCACTATTGATGTTTGTTGCCTGCAGGTGAAAGTACAGGTACTTCTATCAATTCTCCTGGCAACATTTTCTGGATTGGGTATTGCGATGAGTGGGACTTCTTTTGTTGTCGAGATCCTCCGGTGGAGAATAAGATGGCAGGTTTGGTCACAGCAGCAACATGGTCTGCAATCGATGACTCAACCACAGGTCCAATCCCCTAGAGATGTTAATTCACCTGTGTCTCAAAGAGGTCCTATTGTAAATCAGTAAAATGATGAAACTTCAACGGGAGGTGAACCGGTTGCTTACTCGAAAGCCCGACAATGGAGGTTCTAGCATTATATTATGTTATGTATACAATCACTGCTTCTGTAATGCAAATCAAATAGGCTGCCTTACATGAAAAGGGTCGGTTCAGAGACCGGAAATAAACTTACACCGCGAGTTTATATCGGTCCTCGAGGTTGATCTCCGAAGAGACTTTCATGAATTAGGTTATAGTGTGCTTGCAGAACGGTATGTAATGAATACATTCGTGCAATTTTACACTGTTTTGTTATGCAGGTTCTTCTTTTTCAAAGGCTATGAAATGCACTGTTAAGAGCTCGTCTTAAATCAACAAAATAATGAACCAAGAAATCATAAGTTAATAATATCTGAAAATTTAGCGATGTTTAAGTAATCTGCTTCTTCCTTACATTTTAAGAAATATATATATGATGTATAAACTCGTGATCGAAGTATTAAAACTTAAAATAACATATTTAAACTATAAATGTGTTATAATTCATAGACGCGAGTCATAGATTGTCTTATCGTAAGTAATTGATTGTTAAATTAAAACTAATATTCTAAAATGCTAAGATGAGAATTCTCTGTACTGATGAGCTGATATTAAAGAAAAGATGACCCAACGAAATTAATGTTCATGCATGGCTAATTAGGGGTTGATTAGATTTGTGATAGTTAGTTGTTCCTTACTACCATTGGTGCCTATATTTGGGAATCGAGTCACTCAGTCACGTGATAAGCACGTTGAGATTGTCAGGCAAGAATAACTCGAGAAAATATTTGAAGTAAAGCTGCATCTTTTCAGTACTCTTGTCCCCCTATTTATTTGTTGGTTTTTCCCGTTTTCCCTTTATTTTAGAATTCTTGTGTGCAACTTTTGTATATAATTTATAATTAGATATAACTTTTTTCAAATGTTTAAATTTATATATTTATGATATAAATTGTTTTGTTAATATAATAACACATTTAATCTTTAATATTTATAGATTCTATATTTTTATTATATTAATTCTAATTTTTTTTAAAATCTGTACATTTATAAAATTTATCAAATTGCCTCCTCCAGCATAGGCAACGCCCTCGCCAACTGCCATTAACTACCGCCAAGCTCTACACAGCCCCAATCATCACCATACCTTTGTGTCTTCACTCCCAGTAGGTTTTCAAATCACATCACGGTTTGAAAACGTGATAGCGTCCGCGAAATAATAGTTTTGTTGCCGTCCGAGTTACCTATTACACCCGCAATAGCATCCAATAGCGTTCGCGACGGTTGCAATAACACCCGCGATGGCCACAATCATGATAAATCCGAAACCGCGATGGCCACAATCATGATAAATCCGAAATTACCGAAAGTGCGACCGCGATTTGAAATCCTGACTCCCAAACTCATCACTGCCCCAACACAACCATGAAGGGGAGCCTGTTACCAAATTATTGGCACTATAAGAGGTGTCGGAAAGCAGGGCAGACCAAATTGTTGGTGGCAGTAGGTTTCGATGAGAAAATTATTTCTATTTAAAAGTAAAATCATTGTATTTTCAGCTGTTCCTCCAATAAAAATCTATTAGTAAATCGACTGTAGAGAAGTAAGAGAAACAGATACGCATGCTGCTTAATATTTGGTTTTAAAGCAGGGAGCAGGAGTAGGATGTTAGATTTTAGAATTGATTTTTAATCTTAAAGCAGTAAGACGGGCGCCATATTAAATAGAAACAACAGATATGGGGGGAAATTACTATTAGGAGCCATTTATTATTCAGCATACGTTTCAGAGAGATGCATAACCATGCCTACAAGCCGTTACAACCATTACGGATTCGCTCTTGTTATCGATTTAAAATGATCTGGGTCGGATATTCGAACTATGATAATTTCGGATCCCTTGTTTCCACTCGATCTATCTTTAGAGCTATTCCCTTTCTATCTATTGATAAAATATTAAAGAAAAGAGAGGCAAAAGCTCACCCGGAATCCCTCTGATCAGGTCACAACTCATCCTTCGTATTCACACTGCTGCTCTTGTCGCTCTCCTTGGTTTCGTGATCCGAAGCTGGTTTGTCTTTTGGAGTTGAAAATGGCTTTTGGAGCTTAAAAGGGATCGAAGCATGTTTCTTGAGGAACTTGTAATATGCCACCACAGAGCGTTCACCTTTATCTGCCCAAGTCCACCATTCAAACATTTTCACTTGAAGGATGGATGAATACAAGCAGAATTGAATATACTTCTTCAGGATCAGAACTCTTGTTTCCTGCTGGGAAGAACAGAATCGTGGGGAACCCCGCTTTCTGCAAAAATAAACAACTTCTTACTATGATGTCTCATTCCAGGCTTAGCATTTGCATCTTATCCTTTTTCATTAAACAGATTATTGCTTTAATTGTTCACGGACAGATTTAAATATTACCCTTGCCCTAGGACGTTCATTTGTTGTCCCATCCATTTTGGCAATAACCAGAGAGTCAAATTCCTTTAAGATGTTTGGCAAGCTTGTTGTATATTGGCTCCAGTGATCGGCAATGGCCACACCAAGGTGCATAGATCTGATATTTGGAGCACCCATAAACAGAATAAGTTCATGTCAAGAAAGATTTAAATTACCTGGCATTTTCATATTGGACGAGAATAATACCTCCAGAAGGACATCCTTGGACTTGTCTAAAATAATATCGTTGAAGCTATTGGCAACCACTACTTTCACATCTTCATCATTCTGTATCAGATAGAATTTTGGGGAAATTAGAATCCAATCAACTTCGACAAGGTAAATCACACTAAAAAGAAAATGCTTACAGTTTCAGGGATTGGGTCTGACTAATGGTAAGGTTTAAGCCTGTCTTCTAAAAACTCCTCTGCAAAAGCCTACAGAAAGGTAGATACACTGAAGTATACTCAAAACCATTACCTATTACAAGTTATTGAAAGGCATAAGCAAATATCAAACAACCAAATTAAAGCAGCGAGAGAGAGCGAGGACCTTAATGTTATCCAAAGTCACATCTCCGTCCATGGCAAACTTCCTAGCATCTGTTCCAGGGTATGCAAGGATCTGCGTGATAAATGAACTGTGATTATCAAATTTGATGCGAATGGAGTATACAAGTACAAAAAATCTACTGCCACCCACCCCACATCTTCAACCCGAAGAAAATAAATCAAACTAGCTGATAAAAAAGGATCAGAGCGACTTACTGTGGGAGACACTAAAAAAATTTGCAGCAGGTCTTCCAGTATCTTCATTATCCACTTGCACGTAAATAGAAATAAGCTGCAAGAAAGTTCACAAGATAATACTTGATAACTACTCTTGAAGTCCTCATCAAAGGGAGTACATAAGTCTTGGGATATATTATCATCAGTTTACTAGATAGCAGAGTTTTTTTATAGACAATTTGGAATTACCTTTCCCTTGAAAAGTTTTGCTGCTTCTTGGAATACCGGGATGAACTTCTCAGAAATGTTTAATGTGGCAAGCAACAACAGCTTACAACAAAAAGATTAAACATAAATTCAAGGAATGTGTCATTCAAAATTCACAATTATGAGGGAAAGCAAAAATATACAACATGCATACGTGATTCTTAATTGAGCTTTCAAAAATTGAAGGAGCACTGTCCCTAGTAGATGTCCATACCACCAATGAGTTCAAGTAGCCCAAGACACCTATAGATCGAGAAGTCGAAATGCGTTCAGCATCGTCCAGGTTAGTAACGTTGAATACACCCGGTCCTATATTCTTCTTAATCCAGGTCAAGATCGCATCCCTGAATTGTCAATGAACAACACTATTGGCCTCTTCCATTTAAAATAACAATTTAAATCTTCCATTAAACAAAGATAATTATTAATTACATTAAGAAATTAGAAACAAACAGGATTATAAACTAAATAGTAAATTTTCTAGACTAGACATGTGATTAACCAAAAGCAAACTGCCTCATAATACATTCCCCTAATTAGAAATAAAAATGCGAATAGATAATCGAAGGCACGTGATTGTAAATCTGTTTTTGTGTGCGAAACATACTTGTTTTGAGCAGCAGGATAAGGCTTATGCTCTCCATCGACAAAAAGACAGACAGTGGGAACCCCTGCACGTCGTACATTTCTGCCAGGTCATCCTCCTCCGTAGCATGATAGCATCCACCTTGGCCAGCACAACTCCTCCTCCTTTCAACTCCGTCGCCGCCGCGGCATATTCCGGAGCAAACGCTTGGGAATGCCCGCACCAAGGCGCGTAAAAATCAACCATCACGTACTTATTATTCCCGATTAAATTACTAAAGTCTCCTTCCGTCAAAACGACTACGTCCTTTTCGTCGAATACAGGGGCTTTGTACGTATCCGGATCGAGGTCGTGCGAATCTTGTTCGCTCTCGGATTCTTCGCTTTCTCCATTTTCGTCCACATAGCTGGGGAATCGATCATCGTCCGAATCACTCAAATCAGGGAGCGAAGCAGAGTCGACGCTTTTGCCTTCAATTTCTTCAAGGAAACGGAGATCGTCATCTTCTTCTACGTCGTTCATAGAGATGGAAGGAATGACAGTTGACAATAGGATGAAGGAAATGATGGAGAACTAAAAACACACCGAAACGACGTCATTTTCCCGAAAGGGAAATTCAGGTGAGATCAGAGAAAGTGCAGAGATCTGAGTAGAATTTATAGTACGGAATGGAAGTGCACATAAACGACGTCGATTTCTCGATTTTCAGTTTGCCTTAACTGTCGAGGTGACGTAAGACAATATTAAAAATATCTAAAATATTTTTTTTTTAAATAAATTAATAGACACGTGATAATTCGTTTTTAGCATAACATATGCTAATTCTTAGTGTATTAAAAATGACGTTAACTTTGGGATGAGTCATCTGCCATGCCATACGTTTTGGTGAATCCGAGTTATAAAAACATTTGGCTAAGAAACTCAACAAGAAACAAGTTAGAAGGTGGCAATGTGAATTCAATTAATAAAACGATTAGCTTATGTTATCGTGGGAAGAGAAAACAATAAATAGTAGTATACGAATATGAATACCCCTAATTATTGAAAATGAACTATATATTAAAATATCAAAACTGTTGTGGCCTTGGCGGGGTGGTGACTGCTTTGCCAGATGGACATACGTAAAAGGATTGCATGGACCATCAGTTATATATGAATACTAATCATACGCGTATAATATTACTTTTAGGGGGGGGGGGGGAAACCCTTTACGATTGTCGAAAAGGTCATTAAGCAAACAAACCAATAGTT